GCAACATGATTTCATCAATAAAAATATTTAAATCCAAGAATTTCAATATTCAAATAATTGTTTCAAAGATATTCTATAAATCGTCTTTGATGAATATCTTCTATAATTATAGATATCGATTTAAAATAATATATCTTATTTTAGAATGTCTTCCAAACCTCAATAAATACGATGCAGAACTCATATGATACGAATGTAAAAATCATTTTCTCTTTGCCGCCCGGGCGAATGAGCACTATGAGGATGCCATCCTTCTGATTCAGCATGCCACAGTGCAAGTAGGGTTTAGGGTTTTACCAGCTTGTTTAGGTGCAAGTGGCAGGCCGAGGGATGGTCTTGGCAAAGATGGTTGCGAGCAGATCTGCTGGCAACGCACGAGATTTTCAGAGGACGAATGTGAAGCATGTTCTGGCGTGTCATTCCTGACAAAAGCACCAGATTTCAATTACATCAAGCAGACGCAGGCTTGCAGTAGGGCGCTGAAAGACCGCGAAGGTGCTGCAAGATCGCAATGTCTTGGTCCAAGTGAAGCAGCAGCACCTTCCAAATCTAGGAATGTACCAAACCTCGGCTTCACAGACGCCCAGGGGAGGGAAGCACGCTGGCATACGCTGGCTCTTTTGAGCAGATCGCGCCAGCGTTCCAGCAACGAGCATCTGCTTTTCATGCGAGAAGCTCGTAGCGATGAAAAATTAGCAGAGTACGATTCTCGTAAGCTGTGAACGTGATTGCTGACGTCTGAAGGTCCGAGGTGTGTCTGGGTTCTGCAAATGCTAGTCAAGTCTAAACAACCTGTGCATCATCTCATGGACCGTTGGCAAAGGTCCTGCAAGTTGTCCTAAATGATCGCCTCAGCTGCTTTCAATTTCCTCCTCCTCGGACCAATCGTCCGACTCCTTGCAGCAGTAGGGGCATGCGCACAAGTATCCTTAACCCTGAACCCACCTGGCTCATACTTTTATCATGGGTGCTTTCCTTCTGCGATTGCAAACATGTCGCGCGCCCGGCCACTCTTGAAGGTAAAAGGCTTAAAGCTGATCACGAACAGTGGTACCAGCAACGCCAGCTGAAACAACGATCAGGTCGGGCGTCGTATCCGGCCGACTTCGACCCGTCGTGCTTGAGCGGCCCGCCGTACAGTATCTTCACCTCGTGCTGGGCTTCGTGTTGCTGAAGGGGAGTTCTGGGAGGCTGCATCCCCAGTTTGAACCCAGAATCGATCCGAGTGCCAAAACACCAACTCGGCGTTGGGCTTCTTTATGTCACACGCCCAAGAGTTTCGACTCTGAGGTTGTCGTTGTGCAACTATTTCTTCCACTAGGAACTCGACTGCTGCCCTCATTGCCCAGCACATGACTGCAGGGCGAGATTGGCTACTTCGCAGCCCCAAGTTTCTAGCACAACTTGATGGGACACGACATCCTCAAATGCATTTGAACAGAACAAAGACATCGTCATAAGGTGTGCTCACAGACGCCAAAGCAGACTGCGTGAACAGCGCAGATATGCTAGCCGTTCTGTTTTCATGCTGTTGAGGCCTGCTTGTTATTCCAAGGGGGGGGTTGCCCAAGTGGAGTCCTGAACTCACGCTGTGGCCGTAGACACGAGAACTGAAACAAGCCTGTCCCACGTGGCAAAGACCTTCTCCTGACTGGACTGGTGTTGGGTGGTTTGGATGGTTTGGGATGGTGTGGGTTGTTTGGGGGGTGCAGTGTGGAGCTGGGTGTAAGTTTGTGCACGGTGTGGATGGAAGTGCGGGTAGTGTGGCGGTATGGTGGTGATGTTGGTGTGGGCGTGGTGCGTGGCTTGATTATGGCTGTGGGTGCTCTGCGTGTCGAGATGGTGTGGGTGGTGTGAGTGTCGGTCTGGGTGCAGAACGGTAGTGGGTTGGGGGGTGGGGGCGGGGGGTGCGGGGTTGGGGTGGCGGGTGGCGGGTGGGGGGGGGGGGGGGCGGGCGGGTGGGAGCGGGGAAACACAGGCAAATACTCCCCATACGCCACAACCCACTACACTTTGGGCCCTGAACAAGTAGCCTAACAACGACCTTTCATTGGAGTTGGCCCTGGCTCTGCGGGCACGTGCTAAATGCAGTGGTCAAGTCGCCGCTTGCTTCGGCTTACCATCTCGAGCAAGCCTGGGCACGGTTTAGGGTTAGGGTTTAGGGAGGCAGTTGCTATGCTATGCTGGGGGATATTGATCGCCTGATTTTGGGTAAGCAACCTTACAAATCCCAGCGACACGGGTCTTCTTGACATATGTAGCCTGTTCCACCTTGCCTATCATGCAGGTATCATCACAATGTATCCCGTGCCCAGCTGCAGCACCGGCCCTGCTTAAAGAAGACAAACATCCAGAACTTCAAAAAGGTCAAGAGTCTCAAACTTCCACTCCTCTCTCTACGACTGTTCTTCTGGGATCTGTCCCGAAATCAACTGTGCTCCTCCTGGAAAAGGCACTCATGTTCTCATCTCCTGCGACGTGTGCTGTCAGCCCAGTGGCGCGTCAGCTTCGTCTAGGGTGTTGCCGTTGTAGTAAGGAATGCCTCGGATAATTCATCTAACCAACTGAAGGCAGGATGCTTCGGATAAGACTTCGAATTCCAGTAGTTCCTGCTTCTCAAGAGCCAATATGCAAGGCGGTCCACGAGAGGCATCCCTTACGGTCACTACACGCAAGAGCCCCTCGGTTTAGGGTTTAGGGTTTAGGTGGCTAGCTTTCACAACGGCACCCGGCCAGTAGCTTACCGCAGTCCCCTGTCAGCAACAAGACCGAAGCGAGCCAGAAGCCCGTGGCATGAGACCCAAGATCACCGCTACATCCACCCCTTCACCCCGCGACACTGTGAAGCTCTGAGTCTCAGAGACTCTGTGCTGAACCGTGTGGCTGAAGGTCGTGAGGAGCATCGCAGCGGCGGAAGTTGCGGTCACTGTCCTGGGCGGTGAAGAACTTCTGAGCTGAAGACGTGGCAACACGCAGTTTCGGGATTTGACATGCAAAATGCAATCTGCAGTTCATTTGCGCCAGGACACCAGAAGATGGCGTTGATGTGGCCCTGGTTCTTAAGCTCCTCGGAAGGCCCCACATGCTCACCCAGCTCTTGGGACCCTTGTGCAAGCGCGTCTGAGTGGGAACGGCGCAGCTGTCTTAAGGCCGCGGGCAGTGCTTGTAAGCCATGAAATGGTGACGGGGAACGGTTTGAAATTGAGAGCTGTTTCGCCCCTTTGCAGTTGAGTGACTGAGAAGAAGTAGGAGCCGATGGTGGCGCCAAGCTTTCCAGCTGCTGCGCTGATGCCGGCGCCGGTGCCACGGACCATGCTGGGGTAGATCCTTTGAAGCCCGAAAAACAGCAAGAGTGATGGCTGGAGAGGTCAGACCTCTTCTGGGAAGTCCACAGTTTGGGCAGAGGGCCGTTACGAACCGCGGCCAAAGCCTTGACATGCCTTGACAGAAAATGTTTTGTGCTGAGGGACTCTGCAGAGATCGCCATTGTTGTGACCTTGCTGGTTCCAGCACTGGTCATTCTTGCCGAAACAGGAAAGGCCGACATGCGCACAGTCCATGACAACCCATCCCGAAAGCCTACACACCAGAACCGAACATGCAGATGCTTGCTTTGGCGGAAAGAACATGCGAAGATGGCAGTGGTGGGCTGAGAGTTGGCATGTCGACATCTGCACCCTTTAAATCCCGACAGGCAGCCCCCGGCAAGCTCTGGAAGGACAGCTGCAGGATGTAGAGCGTAAAAAACAGTGAGTCCATTTCTCTCAGCTCCTTGAAGGCAACCTTGCTGAATCTGTGCAAGAAGAGAGATCGGAGTCAAAAGGCATGGTTGAAAGCCAAGACTCATCTTGCATAGCAATGCCAAGCTACACCTGCTTTCTACTGCATTGCCTACAACCCTTGGGCAGCCAAACTCGACAGCTAGTTCCACGTAAAACACAGCAGGTTTTCACAGGTCCACTGCCGCAAAGCAGCTGCCAAAACTAGATTGGCAACCGCGCATCCACAGAAGCCAATGAACTGAACGCGCTTGCTGGAGGTCTGAGCAGGCTTTGGTGGCCCTAGGGTTTAGGGCTTAGGTACACAGGGCTTCAGGCTTGTGTGCTGTGGGACGTGGGGCAGGGGTGGTTTAGGGTTCATTTGGGGGGAGCCCAGCTCATCTGGCCCATGTGGATCCACAAAGCTTGCAGACTGCTCGGGCTGTCGCGAAGACGCCGAATGCCGATGTGGCTTCTGCCCGGTTTCGGTGTAAGCCGCTGCTGAGGCATCGGGCTGTCTCACATGTCACTTGCCGGGCCTGTTTAGGTGTTCTGTTGGATGGAGGGGCATCTGTTTAGTGGAACTCGGAGACGTTCAGTTCAAAAGGAGCATTTACCAATGGGTGCCTTTGTCAGAAACCATGGCGCAAAGATCAACCTCGGCTGATTGATGTCACACATCCTCAAGCAGGGACTGCAACAAGTACTGCTTGCGTCTTCTGATCTGCTCAGTAGCGATGGGATCACAAGGAGGCGGCTCCACAACACCTCGGTTCCATTGCTACAGCCGTCCCGACCCGAATCCCACACAGACCCACACTTTACACCATGCTCTCTTGTCCGAGGTCTCCCTACACCACATCACAGCATGTTGCCAAGAGCCACGAAGGTGCTGTAGCTCTAAACCCTAAACCCTAAACAGCAAACCCTAAACCCTTCCTTACGGCTAGGACTGCTGCACTGCCCATGACGACAACATGCCACTCAAGAGGGGGCACCCTAAACCCTAAACCCTAAACCCTAAACCCCAGGCGCAGCTCGGGTACTTGGAGGATGCTGTCGGAGTAAGGGCCACCGTCGTCCGAGTGGAAGATCGCCGCATCGTTTTGTTTCAAGCCTTGCTGGGGGGCTCTGGCATCATATATATATATATATATACATGTATATATACACACAGATAGAAAGTGTCTTATGTCTATTGCAGGAGGAAGTATCTAGTATAATATATAGAAATGTATACAGATACATCCTACGTCTTCGGGTTAAATGTGAAGCTTTCGCAAGCTTGCTCCACAGCATGCGGAGTTGAGTGATCTGCTTCAGCCCGGGTGGCCGTACTCGACGATGTCGAACAAGAGCCAACATCCGGCAGTACCCAGGAGCGCCCTGACTAGAACGAGTGGGAAGCTGAACAGTACTTCTTTCCTTTACCGCTCTACATAGTCACCATTCCACGTTGACGGCGCAAAAGGAAGGCTGTAAGATCTTCCACCGCACCTTCCCGCCGTGACTCCCGTCTTGCTGCCATTAAGGCCGCTGACTTTTTCCTCGCAAGCCCTCGGAGACCTTGGAAATTTTAATTCCGCAGCACTGCTTACGGTTCATGGCTGCAGGGTGTAGAGCCTGTAGGAGTTTCTGCTGCGTGACCTGACCGCGCATGAGGACCTATCAGCCCCAAGAAGTAGGTCTAGTTGCCTCCGCGAGTGCAGGATCTGGTTGTCGTGAAAGCGTCGTAATCAAGGACGGAAAACTCTTGTTTCTTCGAAAGTTGCATCCGTCCGCCTTGCCTATCCTTGCGTTGCCGCCAACTTTCATTTGAGAGCCGCCAAAAAGGTGGACACCGTGAAGCAGGTTTCACAATGGGATACACAATCATACTCAATAGCGGCAACAGAAGCGGCGAAACACGGACCGACAAGGATGCCCGCAGATCCCTGTCCTCCAGTACGGAGCCAGAATAGTCCAGGTGGTGTCGTGATGCTTTTGTTCTGCCTCTGAGTGGCGCCAGCACTTCTGTAACTGCATTGCCACCTAGAGCCTAGTGCTGAATCAGCTCCACTCCATCTGGCCGTGCAACACTCACACATGCAAGAGACCTTTTTCATGTTGCAAAAAGGCAAGGCACAAGCTTGCGAGCTCATAAGCCTTGAAGCCTCCAAACACAAAGCCGTGCATGCGAAGCCTCTTTGCCCTCCACAAACTTCTGGCTGTCCTCCCCGGCAGCAATGACTTGCTACTTGTTCTTCTTGCCGCTTCCCGACTCGGCTACACATGCGTCAATTCCTGCGCTGGCGTTCCCTGAGGGTCTACTTTGAAGCTGCCCTAAACCCTAAACCCTAAACCCTAAACCCTAAACCCTAAACCCTAAACCCTAAACCCTAAACCCTAAACCTGGGTTCTCCTGGGTGGTCAGGTATCGTAAAACCAGCCCAAGGGCTGACAAGATGACGCCAACTCCTTGGCTGCAGGATGACGCGGGAAGCAACGATTATCCTGTTATGCTGCTATCCTTTTTCTATTCTGCTATTCTACTAGTCTACTGTTTTTCCTATTTTTCTGTTCTACTGTTCTACTGTTATATTGTTATACTGTTATACTGCTATACTGTTATACTACTATACTATTATGCTGTTACACTATCATACTGTTATACTATTACGCTATTCCCATGGGTTCGCGCGTTCTTTATGTCTTGGAGGACAGAGGGGTGCCGGGCCGCTGTTCCCCAGAAAAGTTCACCTCCTTGGCGCGGCCTCTGCCGATGAGTCACTCCGAGGAAAGCTGCGGCGCAAGAAAGTCAAGCCATGACGCCGTAAAAACCAAACTCGACAATCAAGCCCCCAGACCAAAAAACGAAAATTACTTCTAACGGTTCAGTATTGCCACCCCCCCCCCCTCCTCCCATCCTATGACAGAATCAAGCTATCAAGCTCACAGCTTGGCCCTACCTTGTTTGGCCGTACTTGCGAAAGGCAAGCAAGACCAAACTCTCAAGCCCAGCCCCGCTGACTTTCGCGATAACTGGCTGGTTCTTCGTAGAGGGAATTAGGGAATGAGGGCCCTATATATATACCCTTTAAGGACTTATATAGGGCCCTCATTCCCTACTAAGAACCAGGGGGATAACTGTCTCGATGATCGTGTGCGCCGTGTTTCTTCGAAAGCGACGGGGCATTCGGATTGAGGGGCGCTGTTTCGAGGGGCACCCAATCTCGGGGCAGGTATGCGCTTTGAGGCGTGTGTCGTCTGCAGCAGTATGCTAGGGTTTAGGGTTTAAGGGCCATGGCATATAGGGGGTTTACGAACATTAGGGGTGCCTTCCTAAACCCTGAACCCTAAACCCTAAACCCTGAACCCTAAACCCTAAACCCCCTAAACCCTAAACCCTATTTTTTTCATAGAAACCCCCATGTCAATAAAGCCGCCCAGGTTCCAAAGATCCATCGCCACAGCTGTTCATGGGGGACCCCGCCGACCTTAGAGAGTGGGTTTAGGGTTTAGGGCTCTCTTTTCTTGACCCTTGCTAGGGCCCAGGTGAGTGCTGGGTGCAATGCAGGCCATGGCTTCTCGCCGGCTTTATATACGGGGGATCCTTGGGACATGTCTCAGCCCCCTAGACGGAGGATTCACAGGCCCAGCCAGCAGGCAGCCGCTAACTTGCAGCGCTTTCGCTCCCAGAAATCATTCAGAACTTCCCGCATCTTCCCTGCAGCTAAGACACGTCCATCGCGTAGGTCACCATTGGGCATAGCGCCTGCCCAAATCCACTTCCGAACAGGTAGAGCAAAGCTACATTGCGAGCGCCATCACCTGAGTTTTGAAGACGGACATCCGGTTCGAAGTCATTTTCTGGGATTGGGCAAGGACTGGGCGACAAAGTCGCGCCATCTACTATGGACCTCGAATCACACGTGGCAGCATCAGGGAACTACGTGAGAAAGGTGCATCCCTAATGCATCTTCTCTCCTTTGTGCCCCCTTTCCACATGCTAGCTGCGCCTTCAGTAGATGGCAACTAAATGTACAAACGCTGGGGTTCTATTTACTATCCGTTCGACATGCCGCCAAAGCCTATGCACTTGATGGCATTGAGCAATGCCTTCAGCATGGTCAAATCTTGCATGTATATTTCTTCAAAATGTGATTTTAAACTTTCAGTGAAACAAGAAATGATTCGTGTTGCAACCGTTTTGTGACAGCGATGGCCTTTGAGCGTGGGTGGATCTCTACTGTTGAAAGCCCGGGGCCGCTGCAAAGTGGGAGGGGCATGGGGCTGCAGTAGAGCGACTGGTTTTTTCCGAGGTCTCGGCCGAATGCGAAGATGCCAGCGGGTATTCGCCACCCATGCCGACTCCAGTAATGATGCCTGGGGAGGTCTAACAAGTACATTCGGGCTTCATTTATGTTGCCTCCGGCTGTTGCCTTGAGTGGCCAAGATACGTGCAGTCCCAGACAACGTTGTTCTGATTCTAGCCGTTATTTGAAACCCTTTGCAGGTTGCGCACGCCCGGGTTCCGCTTGAGTAGCTGTGCCGCCGTCGTGCTGAAGCTCTTCTTCGCCAAGCAGCGGGCTGCGATGAGGGTATTCTCACTCCAGGCCAAAGCCGAAAGCAAAGCACCTCAGCTTTTGCAAGGTCTTTGAATTGGGTCCAATGCTGGCTTTGGGAACTCACCTTGAAGCTCACGTAAGGCAAGGTACCAATGAGTGTGATGAGGGAGCATAGAAGCAGCCCCATTCGGCGGCCAATGTAATCAGACGCCGGACCTGAAGTGGCCAGTGCAAGCCACAACTCATTCCTGCAGACCCTGTAGGGTTTAGGGTTTAGGGTTTAGGGTCTCTTCAGTATTCCGTCCGACAAGACCAAGACATGCTCCAGTCACTATGGTGCTGCCAATGCCGCCCATGACAAGCATGCCCAGAATAGCCCCAGCGTACATCGCCGCTTTCACGAAATCCTGCATTCTACCGCGAAGCGTGAAAAAAACATCACGTCGCTGTCACATAAGCCATGGCAGAATGTATCCATAGCACTGCACAAAAACCCCCTTGCCTGCATTGAGCACGCAAGCCCCTAGAGTCGTCACTAGGGGCGCGCAGCAACGTGTCACTGCCAATTGCTAAGCGGTCCTTCTGTGCGGGAGTGGCGTGAAAATCTTGAGCATAGTGTTCAACGAAGTTGGTGGCACCGAGCATGTACTTGTCAGTGAGCAAGCCTGGTATAAAGCTGCTGTATAAAGATCGCTGCTATGCACATGTTAAACTGGTGGTCCTAGGCCCTAGGCCTTTGCTGGAAGGCATAGCCGGCCAGACGAACTAGGATTGTTCCAAGGGAGGCTTCTGACGGCTGATCTCAAGGCTCAAGGGCTCTGCTTCACGGTGCCAAGCCACCCATGCCAGTGGCAAGGGGGGCGAGGAATCGTAACATGGCTGGGAAAATGAGACAGCACCGTGCCGCCTTTGCCTACTTGCTGTGAGCTGACAGCGCCTTCCCTTGATGCAAGCTTCTTGCATGCACCTTGAACCCCGGGATCAGCAACAACATGGGTATCTTACTCCTCCCAGTTAATCTCTAAGTGCCTAAGTCTAGACTCGTCCACATTGATGTGTATATCATACTCTCACGTCGGTTCTGACATCTCAAACCCTGACCCATTTCACCCTGCTGTTCAAGTCATGCCTTCACTGGCAATTGCCCCTAAACCCTAAACCCTAAACCCTAAACCCGTTTAACCCCTGGGCTGAGGCCTAAACCCTAAACCCTAAACCCTAAACCCTAAACCCTAAACCCTAAACCCTAAACCCTAAACCCTAAACCCTAAACCCTAAACCCTAAACCCTAACCCTAAACCCTTTCTACAGCAGGCCTAAACCCTAAACCCTAAACCCTAAACCCTGCAGGCGTGGCATGGTGTGGCCCAGCAAGCATCCAACAACCTTTTTGTTTTTTTTTTTTCCTCCGGAGGCTCCCGCAGCAATGTTCTGTTTGCACCCTAGGAAACCGACATCCTGCGTAGCCTACTTACAAAAAATTCAAATCAAGCGCTCAGTTTTTGAGCGTCATGATGGGAGGTGCACTGATCACTTGCGTGCAAAGCAACAGACGGTGAACCAAGACTGTGGGGGATCTGCCGCACACCATTCTTCCCACGTGCGGACCAAATTCTGCAAACCATCGCAGAAGTTGTCATCCCGTTTCTCAGCTGTCTCCGTGTAGTGTGCCAAATCTATCAGGTGAACTGCCCAATGACCGCCCGGTCGCATCTCTCGCGTGAGAAGAAGGCTGGCTGCTCTCAACGTTCCTCCAAAGCCTTGCTCGGCCGCCGCGCTGATGGCCTTAAGCTTCGCGAGAATCTCTGTAGCCGCCTTCATGTCAAGTTCGCAACCTGCGGTGGAGAGCGGAATGGATGCCACTCCGAGTACATGCGCTCTCCTAAGAAACGAATCTCTAGCCGAAAGTGACCAGAACAGTCGCACCAGGAAATCACGCCTCGGCTGTCCGGGCGACACATACCAGCGCTGCCCTCCGGCAGAGGTCCTTTGCAACACTTCCATATGATTTGCTAAGCATCCGTGGGACGCAGAACTCTGAGAGACAATGCCAAAGTTAAAAAATCTCAAATAAGTTCAAGGATCCAAAGCCAGGTGCTGAGGCCACGAAGCCCGGTAGCAGCCACTCTCCGAACTCGTGTGTCTTGAGGCTGAAACGTGCCTCCCAAGTCGCAGTCATGCTCCATTCATGTACCACATCGCGAAATATTGTGGCGTTTTTGTCCCACACTTCAACACACTTCAACATATCTTAACTGCTGGAACCGGCCTGCAATTCGATACTACGAATCTGCCGGGCTTGCTTAGCTCTTTACAGTGGCCTGCCGAGCAGCTGTATACAGCCTGTTTCATTATGGGCACGCTGAAGGAAACTCGCGCAGCTTCAGACTGACTGGGTTTGGCCCAGCCTTGATACAGGGATGAGTGCTATAAATTCATTTAAGTTCTCGGTCGGTCTCGAAGCATTTCGTGTTTCTTCAATGGCTTGTTGTCTTCTTTTGCTCATAATGCCCGGCATCTAGTTCGGTGAGATAAACTTGACCATTTCTTTTTGCGCCTTCATACAAATTACATTCTCCTGCCGTTTCTCGGGGTTTTGCCGAAAGCATCGTCAGTAGAAGCAACTGCCCTAAACCCTAAACCCTAAACCCTGAACCCCTGGTGCGGAAAGGCTTGGGATATGCTGTTGTGCACACTGTGGCTCACGCTAAGCTAGCGCAACCTTCGGCTGCAGCAACCGCCCCATAAACTACCATTTGCTTCAGAACTCCCCCCAAAAATGTTCAAAAAACAGTAATCCCTACATTATACCCTTATAAGGAAGAAAGTTTTATATTTTTTGGGGCTTCTTAAGCAATTGGTCGTATCTAAACCCCCCCACCCAACTCCTGGCCTTCAAGTTTGTCGAGTTTAGCACGAGTTCCCCTGCCTCGACGGCTCAGGGCTCGTGTTTAGGGCTTAGGATTCGGGCCGCTTGAAGAATCACACTACACGGGGCTTGCATGCAACGGTGATGAGGTAGCATGACAGAGCTTGCCCTGGCCAAACTGTGAAGGGCTCTACACCTAGAACGCTGCAATGCAAACCTCGTGGGCAGGGTTCTCTAGCAATCGCGGGTCCTCTACTAGGAGGCCCAAACTCAAGATGCCTTTGCAGCATTCTCCAGGCGCACCAGACTGAAAGTGTGGCGCCACGCTACATCCCGCAATTCCCCGAAGCCTCAAGGATGCCCCCTCAACCCGAAACCCTAAACCCTGAACCCTAAACCCTTTTGAGCAACCCTAAACCCTAAACCCTAAACCCTAAACCCTAAACCCTAAACCCTAAACCCTAAACCCACCCGTTCTCCGTAAGGCAAAACTCCTGGTCTCCGCCTTCATCCCGGCCACGCGAAAGCCATCCATGGCACTGCTTGCAGAGTAAACCTCTTCAAACTTCTTGGACTCCTTGAGGGTTTAGGGGTTAGGGTTTAGGGGAGGTAGTAAGGTTTAGGGTTTAGGGTTTAGGGTTTTTTTTTGCCACCCGACTAGCCAAGGGTTTAAGGTGTAGGGTGTAGGGTTTAGGGTTTAGGATTTAGGGGAGGTAGTAAGGTATTCTTACCGGTTCAACAGCTTTCACCAAAGCTTCCTGGATGTTGAGGGTGGGGCTGGGGCCGAAAATGGCCCGAGACATATTCGGGCGCTAGCAAGTGCTCCTTCGCGATCTTGGCAGGGTCTGCCTGGTCCTGTCGAATGACTTACTGTTCGTTAGTAGGCAATGGGGGAATAAGGTACCATACATCCCCTATATACCCTTTAAGGGATTATACATGGTACCCTTTTCCCCCGTTCCCTAGTAACCAACAGAAAGATGAAGGGCAAGCTTCGGCTAGAGCGTGAATCCAACCACGGCTGCCTCAAGAGTCATTGTACGGTAAATTTTGGCAAGCTGCCTTTCTCTGAAACCCCAAACCTGGTCATGTAACGTGCAGGTGATCCTCCCAAGTCGTTTTGCCAATCTTGATGTCTAGAGTGGCGGTCGCTCCAGTCATGCCGAAGTAGGCGCTGTCCAGCTCCATGTATTCCTTGAAACTCCACTGTCGGAAGTCGGAAGAACATATTCTTTGCTCTTGCGCTGCATATGAAAAAAGGCCATGTCTTGAACAGCGCCGTATTCACCCTTCACTGCGCCAGGAGGCGGCACCTTGCACCTTGCAAGTGCCGTGGCAAGCGCAAAGAAATGGCGCCAGCGACGAACCTGCGCAGGTTACAGGCGCAGGTTACAGGCGCAATGTTCTGAGGTGAAATTGCGGGGGCGTCTGCTTACGGGTTGGGTGGCCATGGTTAGCTACATCATGCTGCATCCTTCCAACAGATCGCGCAAGCGAACCAGTGCCATGGCAGATAATTCGCCGACTTGGGCCTACGTTGTTCGCTGCTTCCCACTCGGGGTGGGGTTGTTAGATTTTAAACTAGCCAGTCACCCGTATCCCACCCCAGAGTATCGCAAGAGGAGTGCCCAAGAGTATTTTGAAGGGTGCATGGAGTGCCCAACCGCAAGTATATCCAGAGGTTCCCTGGAGTGCCCAGCCCCAGATTATTTTGAGAGGGAATGAGAGGGATTTTGTGACCAGTGTTCTTGTTTTGACAGTGTTCTAGCTTTGGATTTTCTGTTAAAAGTTACGGCTACTTTGGTGTACAGTCTCTTGTCCCTCTCATCTTTTTAACTAGCTTGTTTTTTTTTGCAGGTTTTAGAAGTTGTTCCTACTTTACCCAGCTTCCTGAAGCAAAACTTCCTTCTTTTCAGAACATAAATAATGCTTGTGTGACAAGGTTGTGACACGTGACACTGCTTCAAATTTTCTGCTAGTCGTTTTGCCTTTTGTCACAAGAATGTGTATTTTCTATTATGATTAATTGACTTATTTGATTGAATATTTATTCTTTGTCTCCGCTTTGTGCCCTGTTATATACGCCCTTTGCATAAATCAAGTCATTACAGTTGTTGTAATGTCAATTAGTTGTCATTATATTTGCAATTAGTCCAAAACACGTCTTACATCATGATATTTGGACCGAATTAAGCCACAAATTATTGACTTTTTGCTTGTATTTTGTTGCTTTTGTTGAAGTAAAAATGTTTCGGTTTATCTTTTTACAGTGCTTCCGTTCTGCCCGAGTACTCTTCTCAACTCAGTGAAGGCTCCAAGTTATGGAAAGCTGGCGACGACAGCTATTCACGATGCGGTTTGGGACTTGGACGTTTGTCTTGTGAGCGTTCGTGCGCGTGCGCCTGCTTTGCTCTGCAGGACTGTGCCCTGACAAGGCAGCCTCCGGCCGATTTTTGCAATCATTCCAAGATGTTTTGTCGATGTTTCGGTCATCAGTTCATGGCCGGAAGACAGCCGTGTAGTTACTTACCGAGCCCTCATGGTATCCAGCCCAGGGACAAGCAAGGCTGCGGTAAGCTTCGATCTCTCTGGAGCACCTGCCAAGCACTCAGACACGGGGTGGAATGGTGAGCCACGCTTAAGCTTGATGTCTCAAACTGGACTAACTGTCAAGCACTCATCTGATAATGAGGCAGGATATATCTCAGCATGCCTGAAACTACTACACGGTTACAGGCCACAACTATGCCTATGCCACATCGTTTTCTTCTCTGGCCGTTTGCAAGATTTGTGCACGAGCCGCAAAATGGCCCAAAGTCATGGCACGTGCCAGTTCCAACCCTGCCGCTGCCCTGCCTGTCGCCTTGATCCAGAGGTTTCAGAATACGTGAACCTGGAATGGCTGGGCAGCCGGAGGCAACGACAAGTCCCTCTTCTTGAGATTGGGCAAGAACGGTCCCCAAACATTTGGGATTCAAAGCTCACTTTCTCTAACCTTCAACACGGCCTCTTTGAGCACTGCCTTCCAAAATCATGGATTCAAGCCAAGCCGGGTTACCATCCGCATTGGTCATCATCGGGGCATGTGCGCCACCAGCTTTACCATCGAGCACTTGCCACTCCTCGGTCCTTTGCGATGGCATGACTGGCCTAGCGCCGTTGACCTTGTCGAACCAAACGAAACAATGTCTTCACACCCCTAGACCCTAAACCCTAAACCGTAAACCCTAAACCCCAGCTGGCCAAGATTCTTGTGATGATGTCCGCGGGGAGTATCCAGCATGGCTCGAGTGCTCAAGTGTCACGCTGGTCCCCAGGGACATCTAGCAACGGATTAAAGGACCCTGGGAACACTTTGAAATAAGGGTTTAGGGTTTAGCTCTTGTGACTAGAGGCTTTGGTCCGGAGCTGGGTCGCGCTTGGTGGATTCCATGCTTCTGCAGAAACAAAGCGGCTGGCTCGGTCCAGGTCATTAACAGATGCCAAGTTGAATGTTCTGCAACACCCACCCCTTTTAGCACTGGAATGAACAATCAGTCTTGTGGTCTCAATACCACGCATCTGAACACATTTTGCAGGGAGGCTTTTCCGCCTTGGCCGCAAGATTTGCAAAGGCAGCCACTCTCATTTGCTAGGCATGGACGACTGCAAGACTAAACCTCACATGCTAGTGGTGCACTGTGTTGCAACATCTCATCTCCCTGCGCTACGACAGATGGTCTCAGATTCGCGACGGACGGTCCCGGATGTTACAAGGGAGGGGGGGTTCATGGGGGTAGGTACCTAGGCAACCTTAAAGAAGCTTAGGGAGCAGTCGGGGGAACATACCCCTTGAGGAGCCAAGAAGGCAAAACAAAAAACACCGGGATTTGGTCTAGTGGTGCGGGTGGTTGGGTGCAGTGGTGCGGGGTTGGGGTGCAGCAGTGCGGGTCATGGGGTGCAGTGCAGCGCACCTCACACCCGCACTCCGCACCCCGCACCCCGCACCCCGCACCCCGCACCCGATTTAGCGAAACATTTCCACGATTTAGCGAAACATTGCGTCGCTAAATCGTGGAAATGTTTCGCTAAATCGGGTGCGGGGTGTGGGGTGCGGGGTGCGGGGTGTTGGGTGCAGGGTGCGAGGGAAGCCGCACCCTGCACCACGAACCCACACCCCCCCGCACCCCGAACCCGCACCCTCCGCACCCCCAACCGGCACCGGCAACCCGCAACCCCGCACCCCGAACCCGCACCCTCCGACACCCGCCCCCCGCACCCCGAACCCGCACCCCCCGCACCCCGAACCCGCACCCCCCGCACCCCACCCCCGCACCCCACCCCCGCACCTTCACGTTGACATTCGACAGAAACCATGGTTTTCATTCCTCTTAAACTTTGATAAGTCTAAAGCTCTTCGGGAACTTCACGAGTGGCCCCTTCGTGATACCCTAAACCCTTTTGCATCCAGGCCCCTGATGGGATGCCCTAAACCCAAAGTAAACCCTAGAACCTTTGCGCAGGCTCTCAGTCTGGGTACCTGTCCAGGATCCTTCCCGCGAATCCTGTAGGCCTGGGGCTCAGCCTGATTCCTACAGGCTAGAGGGCAGGGATATGCTGCAGCAAGAACAGGCGTAGACTCTTATATCAATGTCACTCAAATGAGTCTGCTACAGGAGTAATGTTGCGCAAACTAGGCAAGTGTGTCCTGATCGCTGGCAAAATAGTCAGCATTATGCGCTTGTAGCTGGTAGCGGCCATAGCATAAGAACTGTGGAATGATGTGCTGCTTGCTTTGATCCCTGTCCCATCTAGAAGACGGCGTCCTTCTAGTGATTCTAGTGCAGGTCAGCAGCGGCATAAGGCACAAATGGTGTAACCTCGGGCTGTGTGGGCGTGGGCAACACGCTGCGACATGGACAACCATTCAGCAAGCTGGGCAGCACCAGCAAGTTGCAGGGGACGTCACGCCATCATTCGAACGACTCAGATGTTCCGCCCAAAAAAATGACCAGTTCCATCCGATTGCTGTACACGATGGCTGCGCGAACATGCGGACCTCCATGGCCCTGTCTCGCATGAAGGGATTGCAGAGGTTCTGAGGTGGCTGATGGTGGCTGGGGGCCAAGCCCAACGATGTGGCAATAGTCGAGTGACAGCCTGAGCGAAGAGCCCATTGGAGATCGTCTAAGAGTCTAAGAAAGAGTCTAGGAGGTGCCAGTGCATGCAGACGAAAGGCGTGGCTGTCACGCTATCCAGCATTTGCTGAAACTCTCAGGCTTCATGTGGCTTGATGCATTATCGGTCTGTGAGAACTGCACCCGCCCTTCCTTTGACTCTGCTTGTCCCAAATCATCTTGGGGCCATGCGATAGCAAATGGCAGATTCGGTCCGCGCTCGTTTAGAGCGGCCGTCCTGGCACAGCGACAAAACTGTGGACCCTGGCCAGTGAGTTGTTTGGGCTTTAGGCCCGCGTTTCTCTGTGCGATGCCTGTGGGTTGGGCCGTTACTAGCGCTGAGCCAGCACGTGCCATTCTCAGTAGTGCCGTCTGGCTCATCCTACCCTAAGCCCTAAACCCTAAACCCTAAACCCTACATTCCCTGACAGCTTCCGAACCAGTCGGAACCCTTCTGAGCATCCCCCCGAGCTCTGGGCCTCAGAGCTTTCCTTGGCATGGCCAGAGCATTGGTGTTGAATGGGTCAACGCATAGGCCGCCGGATTACATACATACGTATATATATATATATGTATATATACATATATATATATACTTTGTGGCCTCCCAGACTGAAGCCTGAAGCCTTAACTCTTCAGTTGCCACTTTACCCTGACCCTGCAAGCCCGAAACCCTGACAAACGATAAGAACTCCCCTAATACTAAAACCCCTTCGGGGAATTTTGGGGTTTTATACTTAAGAAATAGCCCGCCATCGCCGGTTCGGAGCTTGAAAATACGAAGGTCGACCTTGCAAGATCTTTGTGGGGCGGCATATTAACAAATCAGGTGTCTGCCCTTTCTAGCAGAAAAAACAAGGCGCAAAGATCATTGTAGACTCTGGGCATCTTGTCGTGCGCAGTGAGTTGCTTCAACCTTCGACCTGTTTGGCCATATACAGTACTTTCCCTGCGCTGGTTATCTTTGTCAACCATTGACGCTCCGATACTGGCGGGTCTGCAAAGCCCCCGTCATGCAAGGCGAACTAACTCCTGAAGTCTTTTCCCAACGCACTTTCATAGGCTGTCCTGGCATGCTAGGTTGTCATTGTCACGGTCCTTGCCTGGTGGCTAAGGGCCTGAGGCCTAGCCGCTCCACACCCTGCGCTCCGTTTCTCCCCTCGCGGCAGTGATAGTCGAGTCTGGCTGGCTTCCGTCAAGGCATTGCGGAGCGAGTTCGGATGGTGTGGGACCCCTGCCGTCACTGTTGAGTTTGAGGCTTGGGGATCCTCATGGGTGCATCCCGAACATATCATACAGGCGCGGCCTTGGGCTTGCTACCAGGGGCTAAGAAAAGAATAGGCCTTCTGGCATCTACTCGTTTGCAGGCACGGGGTCCGACATCCGAAGCTCTTGATGCTGAGAGGCCTACGCCGACAACGTCTGCGAGTCTCTTCGTCTTCACTGTGAGTTATGCTGTTTCAGGTGAGAGAGCCTAGGATCACTCTTTCCGGCTTTGTGGGAGGTCGGACATGCTAGGCTACACAAGGCTACACAAGGACTTCGTCGAGCTGCGACATGACTTGCGTAGTTTACATACCTCTTGACATCTTCGGTTTTGGACCTGCAACCCAACGCAACATGGCCTACGTTTCTAAACTGCCGAGCTTGTCCAGCCGGCAGTAAATGGCATCTTTGGGTCTTGAGGCACCGGAGGCTTCCGTTCTGGGCTTGGAGCTTGTCAGGTGCTGTCAGCTCGGCGCATGCCTTACATCAGGCCAGCCCCCGCGCATTTCGCTAACGCCTCCTCTGTCAAGTATCTGGCAGCAGCAATTGCATCCGCCTTCATCTCAGGGGAAAGGCGCAACAACTTGGGCATGTCTATTTCTGCCATTTGAAAGTCAACGACCCCCCCCCCCCCATCCCCCCCCCTGCTGGAAGATGCTGCAAGGATCAACCTACGACCACTCGCAAGACATTGGACAAACCACGAAAACGCGTCTTGCCTCCTCGCCAGGGGCGATGACAGGAGGATTGAGGAGGATGCGGACAGCCTCTTCGGCATCCTGCCAAACCCGGAGAGTGCCCAAAGCGTGGCCAACTGGAAAGTGGCGCATGGAGCAACTTTAACAGGCAAGGTCCTTCTCCGTTATGCAGTACTTCGGATTTGTGAGGACTGTGCGATGCCTGGCAACTTGTCGGGTCTTGCAAGTTTCAAACTAACTAATTGTAAGACGGCTAGATGTTCTTCAATCATAAAAATAGGGGCTTGAGGGCCGCGCTTCGGCTGTTGCAGGTCTGTGGAGCGCCCAACCCGCGATCGTTTAATGTTTTTATTTGAGGCCTGTCTGGATACCCTACAAGCGCAAGAAGGTGGCGCAGTCGAAGCACCAGTCCAAGTAAGAAGATCCTTGTGGACATGAAGCAGGGTTTATATTACTGTTATTGGTGAGCGTATATAAGGTTCCATTTAGTATTGGTGAGTGTATATATTGGGTGTCCTTTTGGGTTCCCCTTCTTCACATGGCTCTGACCCTCTTTATGTTGTTGACCCTTCTGGCCCTTCCTTCCAATGGACCCGAGGTGGACAAGGCGGTCGCAGGTCAACACGGTCAAAGTGGTCAATACGGACAAGGCGGTCAAATAGGCCCGCCAAGACCCAACGACGTAAGATTTGGGCCTCTTTGTGGGCACTCGGAGCCAAATCTCACCACCCACCCAACCATTTCACTCTCGGGCGATTCCTCCCTTGTAGGAGCCTTTTGGCTCTAGCTTAGTCCGGGCTCATGCATGCCATGTGTGCCAGTTTCCTGTTCATTTCAGGCTAGGAACACAAACACAGAACTACACACACACACACACACAACCTCTCTAAGGCACAACGTACCGCAGTTCCCAAAACAAACTCTACCGTAGTTCCGAGAGCTCTATCATACTTCGTAGGTTCGAAGGCGTGGTGCAGACCGACCCTCCTCCAAGCGTTTATGCTCACAGTAGCCACCGGCCTAACCAACACATGCCAGAACGCATGGTGAGTATAGGGGCCTCAATGATTGGAACGAGGTTGGGGGTCTTTATAGTATCATTATATAGGGACCATATTGAGGGTTTGGGTTTTTTCGACCACGCGATTTAGGGTTTAGGGTATCTGTCCAGGGCCCCCCACTTCATCAGCGGTGTTCCCGACACCTTTACGCTGTCAGCCCAGCTAAAGTCGATGTCATCGATGGCCACCCAGGCCTCTCAGGGTTTAGGGTTTCGGGTTTAGGATTGAAATTAGGGTTTAGGATTTAGGGTTCAGAGATTTTACAAGGCCAACAAAAGGGGAGCTATAAGGCGATGGCTTGCCTTCCCTACGGCTCGCTGGTTATCGTTCAGACACAGCCGAAACACGCTGGTTAACCGCTAGAGGTCGCTCTACTTGTGCATGCAATACAGGGTGGGGCACCATGGTCCAAGCAACGGCCTTGACTTCTTTGTGCTGCTTCAGCCAACTGCCTATCTCCCGCGCACGCCGCTCTGCCCAAATGATCGCCTGGCCGTGATGGTTTGAACGAAAGACAGCGCAATGCTCTCAATTATAAAGTCTCACTGTAGCCGCCAACGCACAGCGCTCCCAAAGCTGGACACATCAACATATTTATATAACAATATAGCAATATAACAATATAGTATCATTAAATAAGGACTAATGAACCGGGGGAGACACGAGCATTCCCTGCCCCAGTGGCGCCTGATCGAGCCTCTGCTTGACTAGCTCGGCCGAGGGCTGGAAGATCGGCGTGGAATCTTGAACACCAGGAATGTCCTCAGGGTTTAGGGTTTAGGGGAGGCCCACCGTGCCCACTACACATGTCTTGCGTCAAGAGGTGGTAGCTGTTGCAACTTGGGGGGCTTGAGTCGTCCTCGAGGGGGCACTTTTTGGCCCTCCCCTGCTGCCCCACATAGTCTTACGACGCAGACAGCAGAGCCTCTCTAAGCTCACTTAGCTCGGACAAACCATGCCCAAGCTGTCCCATCAGCTAAGGACATCATCCCGAAATAGAGCCAGAGCCAGTAGCAATCCGATTGAAAGATGTGAAACTGTTCCAGGGTGTGCACCTGGGCTTGAAGAGTTCTTCGGATGTTGTCCCTCATCTCCTCGCAACAGGAACAAAGCAAACCAGATGCAAGTGTTGTGAAGCTCAAAGCCCACACGTTCGAGCTCGGGGGCTCTGGATGTTACCGAGGTCCGGGACCTCCTTCCGCCGCCACTCGGAAGACAGAACAATGGAAGCGCCCGTCCTCGTACTGACAAGCCACGCAACACGGACTTTGCCACACAAAACATGCAGGCCGTGTTTAGAGGTTAGGCCTGTGCCCACCTAATGCTGGAGTCGCACAAAGAGAGCGGTATCATCGACAGAGAGCACAGTGAGTCCCTGGCTGCTGCACTATGGCCCGCAGGTTGGACAGCGCAGTTCCTCAGCGAGCGAGCGCGGTATGTGCGATGATAAGGGATGGCCTGACTGCACTTTATGAAGGATTCAGATCTCAAGCAACTAAATCAAGGAAGCTTCTGTTGAAGTCGGCTTCCTTTGCTGCCCGCACAGGCAGCATGACGCCATCGATGAATATCCTGCCAAACGGAAGCTGCACTCGCGAGTACTGCCCCATGGGGTGTGCTCGTGGCTGGGTCAGGCCACCCAACACGTAGCTGCCGGCAACAACAAGAACAACAGCAGCAGCAACAGCAGCAGCAACAGCAGCAGCAGCAACAACAGCAACAGCAACAGCAACAGCAACAGCAACAGCAACAGCAACAGCAACAGCAACAGCAACAGCAACAGCAACAGCAACAGCAACAGCAACAGCAACAGCAACAGCAACAGCAACAGCAACAGCAACAGCAACAGCAACAGCAACAGCAACAGCAACAGCAACAGCAACAGCAACAGCAACAGCAACAGCAACAGCAGCAGCAGCAGCAGCAGCAACAGCAACAGCAGCAGCAGCAGCAGCAGCAGCAACGCATCCCATGGCCGTAGGCGCACATTTCGACGCTGCCGGCTGGGAGGAGGACGCCGTCGACATCCAGGAATATGACTCTGGACCTCGATGTAAAATCACGAGTGTGCAAGAGTTTCCCCCTCTTCCCCCCCCACCCCCCCCGCGCTGGCCCCAGAAAACTGAGGCAATCTAAAGGTCCGATGCGTCGCATAGTATGCTTGGCTACTACGCTCCATCCGACACTTCAAAGCCCGAAGGACAAGCTCCTTTTTCTGGTGCCAGGATCTTCACATCAACCGTCACCCTGAGGCTCCTAGAGAACCTTTGAATGCCGAAAGCCATCTCGACTCATCTGAAAGCCCTTTCAACACGAACCAAAAAATATAGGGATTTCCGAAAATATGGGTACCCTTTTTCGGGTTCCTTTTTGACAGGATCATAGTATTTCAAGGTATATGAGGGGCACCCCTTTCTTCGGAAATCCCCCGTATGTTGCAAATCAAGTCCCGCCTGTCGACAGGAGGAAGCTTCGGCCTTGTGCTCAGCCTGGCCACAACACAGCGAATTGCTCAAGAACCCCCCAAGAAAACAGAAATATTCTTCCTTCTAAGGGCAGGGATGATTATTCTTAAATATTTTGGGGGTTCTTAAGCAAGTAGTAGCAAAACAGCGTGGTCGTTGGGGTCTTTCCCAAGGCCCTCGTGAAGCGTTTGCTCCTCTTGTTTGGAAGCCTTCCCTTTTGCAATTCGGATTTGCTGATTGCATCTTTCAAGGCAGCCAGTGGTCGTAGAGTCTTTGCTGCTTTTTGCTGCTCGCAGAGCTGAACTGACGTTCACTTCGCAGGGCAGTAGGCATTCACTTGGTTCAAAGTTGGGTTCAAAGCTTCTAAACCCTTTGACCCCGGCTTCTAAACCCTAAACCCTAGACCCTAGACCCTAAGCCCTAAGCCCTAAGCCCTAAGCCCTAAGCCCTAAGCCCTAAGCCCTAAGCCCTAAGCCCTAAGCCCTAAACCCGAACGACATGCCGTGCTGAGGCGGCCGCTGCTCGGCTTTGCGTGCTTTGGCAGCCGTGGCCTGCTGGAAATCTTGCTGAAGAAGGCGGCAACAGCGGCAGGTTGTTGTGTGAAAGTTCAAGTTGCGCGGGTGAACTTGACCACACACACACACACACACACAGGGAGCCTCACAACAGTATCTAAAGACGTTTAGAACGAAAGTAGTTCGAGTTCGCAAAATGCGGAACTGCTCTTCCGATAGCCTCCCTGGTGCAATGCCCGTTGCGCCGCAGAAACTGATGCAGATTATAGTGAGGCAGTAGTAAGGATGCAGTAATAGTCCAGCAATATTCAAAGTGTGCACTTGCCAATACTGGCAGGGTTTGCTTTCAAGATTGGCGGTGTGCAGTCGCGCAGCATTGCGCAAATCTAGAGCCTAATTGCAAGTGCAACTTGGCATGCTCGTCGCTGACCGATGGTCTAGACGGGGTTTTGCACTTTTACCATGTGCCTAGCAAATCCCCAACAAAGTCGACGGTCCATCTGGCCTTGTCCTTCTCCGGATCAGGAGGGGGAAGGAAGTCATACAGCCCACCGAGCCCCGGATCCTCAGCGCTGCAGGCTTGGATGCAACAAGACGCTTGGAGTCAATTCCGACCGCATCGGCAGCCTCAGAATCGAGGCCGAACTCAGATCTTTACCGTCTCTGCCCCAAGTTTCCGAGAGTCCGAAGCCTCGAACCCATTCAAATCCTGAAAACAAACCCCAAACCTTAAACCCTAAACCCTAAACCCTCCATGGACGTTCCGAAACTTCGACGTTCGCCTCGGCAGGCTCAGCCTCCGCCTTGCGCTTCCGCGAGGCCGGCTCCGTCGACATCCCTGGAAAGCAGGGGAAGTCTTACGGGGCTCGTTGCGAGGTTCTTGTGGTGGCTTTGTTGTGAGGTTCTCCTAATTCAGAGATGATGGAGGGAATGCATCATAGGGCACTGCCCTGAGATGTCTTGAGGTATGCTGATGATGCTGGGGGTCGGCATCTCAAAAGATTCAAGACACTTGTGAAACTCTTGTGACTATTGCCTAAGTCCCGTGGCTATTCAAAAGTAGACTCGCAAGGTGTGGCAAGGCACGGCTGCAAGATAGAATGCCTTCGGCATGTTCGTACTGCGATGGTGTAAGAGAGATGGGTGTACGAAATATGCAGTGTAGGGGCCCTTCGTCACGACGGGTTCATGAAAGTGACCAACACCATGCACAATCGCATCCTGAACTTGAAAGCAAAGGAGACCGCCAGTGCCCTGGCCAAAACCAAACCACATGCAAGCTTGAGGCTTTCCAAATGTGTGGTAGCCCTCACCGCCTCTTAGACTAAACCGTTCACTTCTCCACCAAACCCTGCCAGAAGCATAACATAGCTGAATGCAGTGAGCTCCACCCGCTTGGGCCCACAAGGACTCCCCTAGGGTGCCTCGCGCCCTCCTATCTGTTCATGGCTCGAGCCAAAACATTCAAAGATACTGCGCTCTGTAATGGCGTTTTGGGCAAGAGGAGACGCAGGCTCCGTGCCATTGACCCTCTTCAGCATGCTTACTCATGCCCGCCGTCGGATTGAAGTGCTGTGAGAAGTGCTTTGTTCTGAGGTCGTGGCAGCAAGTCGTTTCCTGGCTTGCCTGATTGGTCAAACATGTTTGATCAGGGACCTCGCAGCTCAGTCTCAGCACCAGACACCCACGTCGCAAGCTTGTCAAAGGAATTACGAAAATGCAGTGCGAAACTAGTGTGAACACTGAACAAACGTGAACCAAGAACATTTCTTGTCTCCAATAGACCCAACTGCCTGAATCTGTCTGAATGCCAGCGATACCTAGCCAAGCCCAGATGGGGCCTGCGCACTGAAGACCCGCACCTGCACTCCTACGCTACGCTCGCAGCTTTCCTCGGCCCTGGGGCGCCAGCTCAACAGCGGCCTGGATGCCAAAAGTTTCGGCAAAATCTTGTGCTTGCACAAGACCAAGCTGTGAAGTGCTGGGCAAAGCTGAGCGGTTGCGTGCAAATGTCAGTTGGTCAAGCCATGCTCTTTCATGCTTCCCTTCCGGTCCTTAGCGTCGGGATCGTCCCGAAGCTCTTCGGCCTCAAGGCCATGCCCTCTCGACTGCGACGGTACATCCCCGGCAGTCCCGACGGTACTCTGCAGCTTCAGGTGAAAGTTGAAGCACTGAGGCTGCTGGCCCCATGGGCGAAGCGGCCTCTGACATAGCATGCACTGTACCAAAGCCCCCGAGAACCCAGAAAAAGCACTTCTGCAACATTGCAGTGGCGGGGCTCATGGCACGGAAAAAAGCGCTTGTCATGTCTTTGCAACGTGGTAAACTGCGAGCTAGACCACATCCCGGCAAACCCGATCACTTTGAGGCAAGGGCATTGAGCGCCGCTTTGGCAATTGCCCTTCTCGTACCAAGTGCAAAGGGCCTGGCTTCCCAAACCCTTGTGGGAGCATCTGTATTCAAAACATCCCATACCATACTGAAGATGTATGAACCATCAGGCATAACCCCACACGACACGCACCCTCGCACAAGTGCATGCGCGCCCTACATATGTTACAGACGCACACGCGCGAACAGGCGGCACAGACAAACACATAGGCAGACAAACAGTCTGATATATGGGAGAGACACTGAAGAGATTTATCGGTTCGATCTACAGGGTGCTTTGAGCTCGTGGACTGGTAGATTGCGCAAGACTGACGTGGGCCATAAACAGTGTGTAGCCAAGTCCTGGCTCTTGGTCAAAGAAGATCCAACCCTGGGTGGTCCTTGAACCCTTAACCACTCAAAACCTTAAGCCCTTAGCCCTAAGTGGCTCTTGGTCGTGCAGGGCGTATTGCCAGGATGGGTTCCAGCTGGTAAAGACCGAACTCCTTTACGTACATCCTTCTCGCTATGTATGTATGTATGTATGTATGTATGTATGTATGTATGTATGTATGTGTGTATGTGTGTATGTGTGTATGTATGTACAGGTATTTGTATGTATGTAGTAGGTATGTATGTAGGAAAATATGTAGGCATGTAGGTATGTAGGTATGTAGGTCTGCATTTGAATGTATACATGTGTTTACAGAGGGGTGCGCCATGGGGGCTGCGTGCTTCTCTTGAAGGGGTGTAGGGCCTTATCCAGAAAAGTGCTGTGTGTTTTGTTTTTTACAATATATCTGCCCTTCTGTTATGCTGTGTTGTTGGCCTCTCGGAACCGATTCTTAATGTCGCGCCAGGTGGTAACTATTCGGGCGCTGGTTGCTGCGGGAATTATCAAAAGCATGGGTTGTCCTAGCTCATGATTTTCCAACATTCCCGGCAGCGACTGAAGGTTTAGCCTGGGGGCAGCAATGTCAGAGTATGGTGGCAAGACAAAGTGTGGAAACCCCACCCCTCCCCTATCCTGTCCTCTCCCAGCCGCAAAGTCTTCACAATTCTCGGGCATCTTGGGCCAAGATGTTGAGAAGCGTTTATAAACGCAGTGCTCCGCGCATATATTAAAAAATATATATATATATATATATATATATATTGTACTTACATATGCATATGCTGCCCACTGCACCTCACGAGGGACTGCGCTGTCCCACGCCAATTGCTTACATCTTCACGCCCTCCGAGCTACACAAGTTGGAATATGCAAGGCCGGTGCGCTCTTCAGTGATCCTTTCATCTTCTCACTAAAAGAAAGGGTTGTTACTGTCGCCGTGCTTAAAAACAGGTTGCTCGCTGGGGGTTGCTGCAACCAGGTGTTCTGGGAATAAAGCAGCCATAACGTGAATCCTTCTCGGGGGTTGCATGCATACTTGGAAAGAATATTATCTGGGATACGCATATGTTGTACGTGCTGGGGCATGTCATGCAAATATATCGGCTTTGGAGCGTGACATACACTTAGAGCTCACAGGCTTAGTGAGGAACATGTTCATCGGATTCATCGGAGGCATCTGGAGATATCCTTTCAAGATATGGGGTTCTCAATGACAAGTCACAGCTGTCTAACTTAACAGGTTGTTTGTTTGGGGTTTATGCACTTTGGAGTTTGGAGAATGAAGTAGCCATAACATGAATGGAGGGACCGTGAGGGATCCACGATGAAGAAGGACAGGCTTTATCGTTGATCAGGGGGACACACACACACACACACACATTTTAAAGCTCAAGGGCATGCCATGATATGCCATGTGCATCGATCGGGATTCTGGAGCGCAACAGAGACTTAACACTCAAGTGCTATAACTATAACAAGCACTTTCTGCAGAGCAGCTTCTCGGGGCATCAGGTGTGGTTGCCAGCAGATGTCCTTCATCACTTCGTACAACTTTGGCAAGGTGTGTTGCAGGGAACCCATGAACACATGCATGCTTCATAGCCAGTGAAGTACACATATCTACACTTGTTCTGGTCCAACTGTTCGTGTTCGAGCGAACAGCGACTTGGACTTGCGACTCGAGGGAACACACACTCACACACAGAGATGCGCGAGCGAGCGCGCTCACACATAGAGGAAGCATCAATGGGCAAAATGTTACCCTTGCCGATCTGGGTGCTCTGACAGTCTTGAAGCAGATGTTCGAAGCCTTGGAGCTTTTGAGGCATTTTCGAGCATTTTGGCTGGCTGTCGAACGATTCTGAGGAAGTCTTCCACGAGGACCGGGCTCTGAGCTCATCTTCGCCATGTGCAAACTTACACTCCGCGTCGTTGCACTTCCTGGCTCAGCACAGGACTCAAACCTGCGCGATGTTTCCAAAGAAGCTCTGTAACACACGCGGACGAGATCACGAAGCAGAGCTCTGAGGCCATGTCCCCGACAGAAACGCACGACCTTTCCGCAAAGCAGGAACGCAGCAAGACTGGGACAGAGTTCGACACGTAGGCTTCAACCCAAAGCTGCGCGAGCAACATGACTTGGGCCCACCAAAACCTAGATATACATATGATCCCGGTTCTCGGTCCAGCCCCCCCCTTTTTTATCATGATATCCCCCCCCAAACCCACCCTGCAAAGGCCGGCTCTCTAAACCCCAAACCCTAAATCCTAAACTCTAAACCCTACAACCCTAGACCTTAAAACCAGCCCACAACCACACCACGGGGGGAACCCTGAACCCTAAACTCTACACCCTAAACACAAAAACCCTAAACCCACAACCAAGGGGGGGGGGGGGGTGGAGGGCTCGCCGCACCCAGATCACATTATACATAGATATATATATATATATTTATATTTAAATTCTATTCACAAATTGTGTACAAACATGTATTCATGTACACATATATATATATACCCTACCCAGTGCAAGAATGTGCAAGGATGTTCAGGAATCTTGAGTGTCGAGCACAGCCGTGTTTTTCGCAGGTCGGGGGGCTGCTGCAACTCCGACCTGCCGGGCGCTGCTACTGTAGTCCAGTGATTCATGTCGGTATACGGTTTCTTTTTTTTAGGGGTCTAAGGTTTAGGGATAAGGGAGGGTATCAGGTGTAAGGGGGGGGGGGCATTAAGGCGGGCCCCCTAACCCTAAAAGGGGGTATGAGGGGGTTTCAGGGGTCATCCTTACCTACCCCCACAGCTGGGTTGCGACCTTCACAAACCGGTGTCGCTTGGCATGCCTAGCTCCTGGCGGATTCATTCTCTTTGAGTCTTTTGCCACTGGACTGAAGTATCTTCTTACCCTAAACCCTTTTCCAAGAGACTTCGCCCGCCTCGAACCCTAAACCCGAAACCATCGTGTGCCAAGCTCAGGAGGCGGCTCCGTGTGTGCAAATGCGCAGTCGGAGCCATATTTGCACCTGTCAGCTTCAGCTAATCCCTTCCCCCTAATTAAACCCTAAACCCTAAGCC